AAGCAGTGTAACGGAAAGTGCACACTGGGTGAGAATCTGTGCGCGCACACACACACACAGTGCGGTTAGTCAATAGGTAAGATCGGGAATATATCGGCATAGAATACAAACACATTCTCTGCAATACCGGTCTGTCCGAACTTACTCAGACCGGCGATGTGTGAGAAGGAGCTACTACCATGTGGTACGCAACTCGTGCACAATACTGTACTAGTGTCGGNTTCGATCCGTCTCGACTGTACTCTCAAGTGAAATTTGGGTTCACGCAAGTCTGTGTGTGTGTGTTTGTGTGTCTGTGGGTGGGGAGGTTCTGGAGAGTATTTCGTGAAAATTTATCTCACTGTGGCATTCTGCATCGGCAAACATTATTCTCATCCTCTTGCACGTTCAACGAGCCACTAAACCAGCCGACATCAAGCTTCCGGTTCCAGAATGAGTCCAGAATAAGATCACAATAGGACGGAACGGGGTTAGGGAGCAGGTCACTTGTGCTACCGTGTTATTGTTATGGATAGACAAAAAAAACTGGTTGAACTCTCGTTGAAAAACACAGTTTTCGGTTACATGCGTTGATATGTCAATCACCAGCATGAACTTTTCGACCTACGGGTTGAAGGAAAAGAGCATTTCACTCATTGAACGCATCACTGTCGCATATAGAACTTTATACAAGCATAGTTCAGTTTAAACTTTCGGGGCAATTTACGCAGTGGTCTTGGTTTAGATGATAGCCATTTGAAAATTATCATTGTTCAGGCTTTATCTGGACGCACAATCGCACATCTCATGTGTTACACCTCATCCCTGGTGCATATCCACTGTCCCATTCGGAAAGTGAACTCGAGTGAACTCGCTGCATGAAAGGGGTGCGCGTGCGTGTATTGATGTGATTGTCATCTTTCTCTGTGGTAACCAAATCACTCCCTGAGCTCATCGGAATTAGCAATTCAACTTTGTTCAAATGTGGTCTTCAGTGAGTGTTAGTCAGTTCATTTGGATCCGAAAACAACGCAAACAGACACCGTGAACCATCTGGTGATTTCATTAGAAAATCTCCCAGAAAATAATGTACGCTCAAACAATCATAAACATGCGAGGTTATATAATTCACAGTTCCCAGAGGGTTATGGTTTCGGATGGGTGGTGATATTGATTGACGGGGGGAGGGACTCCTTCAGATCTCTTCACACAATGGTCCTCTCGTGCATACTGACTCTGTGTGTTCACCACATGCAACTGTTCAGTCTTGACGAAACACACCATCACAGTGATCTTTTGTCCAGTCCGGATCTCAGTATGTTTGTGTCACTCAACCTGTGTTCACCATAGCCCCGGGAATAGTAGAACAATTATCCTTTGGATCTGAACCGGCTTATACTATAGAAAAAGTAGTACAGTACATGAAACTACACTTTTAGCGAAAGCCCTCATTGATTTAGCCTCAACTCACATTCGTTTAGCCAAAACCCTTCTCATTTCTTAACCAATCTTTGCAACATCAACATTCGTAGAGAATAAAATGTTTCAACATTGGTTGACCTCAGAATGTTCCGATAATTTTTGATTTGATTCGTTTGCAGCTATATGACTAAAGTTTGTACATCAAGGCTAAAGGACCGTGAGTTCTGGCTAAAGCTTAATGGGAACGGGTTTTTAGAGAAACACCCAGGGAATTGGATATATGAATACCGAAGCTTGAAAAAAAACACTGAATAGATTATCTTGAAAATGGGATCAAATGTTTAGCGAAACATGATCTCCACTGAACTGAGTGAGGTTGCACACATACATTGAGCGGGTTAGATCAACATCTTTCCTCTCTACTCGTGGATTGGTGGGGTCTGGGAAGGGGTTTTGTGCCAGATTTCTTTCTGCTAAACCGGGATCAGTTTGGTTTATCATGTCTCTGAATATTCACTTTGATCGAATGTGTTGTTCGTGGGGTCTTCTAATCCCTTGTTGAGAGGGAAGCTTCCTGGTTCCGTTCCTTTGAAATACGCTTTTAGATTACACAAAACTATAGTTGAATGTTCCCAATATGTCCTCAACTTTATATTCATTTATGGTTGCCCTGGATGAAAGCAATTCATGGTGAAAAGTTGATTTTTGAATATGCACGCGAAGCACAAGCTATTCACATGCATTGAGCATTGAACATGTGCAAAACCCTCTCTGTTTCTGCATCATTATTCGTGTACGGGTGGTAATACTGGTGTGTTTGATGTTCAGACGGCACGATGATCATTTTTTGGCGGATTGGGGTGAGGTGGGCGAGGACAGGGAATGTAACGTGATAAAGAGAACTATACGCAACCACGTGATTATCACATGACATTCATCAAAGTCTTGATCATACACAAATACGAAAGCTTCACTTCACGGGTATTAGTGGCCACGGTTATCCAAAGTTTCAATAACGAAAAAAATAAGAGCTAGTCGTCAGTCAACAAATCGATTGACCGATCGATCGATTGATCGACCAACTCTAGCTATCAATACATTGATCATCGTTATCATCGTCGATGTCAGAGGCGAGGTCGGTCGAACGGACGGACGGATATGTGTAGTTGGAGATCGACAACTGTGTAGAGAGTAGACCACCGGTCCCCGTTAGTTGACCTTAGACCCTAGCAACAAGCAGTGGGGTTGAACCTTGGTTTGGGGCCTTCGTTAAATGCAAACACTACTGTGACACTTGCTCACACAAACAATCGGACAAACACACGTGCAAGCTCCTACTGCAGGGAAAGTCATATTCTGAGGGGTGCGTGTGTCTGTCATTATGTGGTTGTGCACATGTGTGTGTGTGTGTTCAGGTTCAGAAGGAGTGGATGAATACAGAACAATATATGTGTGTATCCTTCCTTGTTCATTTGTCTTTCCGCTGACCCCATGCATCTGTAGCATCCCAAGTGAAGACAGGATGAGGCCAGAACTGCAGTTACTTGTTGTTGTTGTTGTTACTGTTGTTGTATCTGAGGTAGAATGCGAAACGAACAGGTCGAGATTGACCTTTCGCGATAGTCGAACCCCCGGGGGTTGAATGCTCATTGAGTCAAAAAAACAAAACACATGAGTGGGTAAAGAGGCACAATAAATGAATTGTCTATTTTCGTGAGAAACGGAGGACTCGTTTTCTTCTTTTGTTCTGAACAAAATCCGAAGGAAATTGATTGATGGTTTATCCAAAGGTTGAATGTGATGCCAGAAACGGAATAGGTTTTGGACCTAATTACTCATCATCAAATCGATTACTGAACAGCATCGTTCTATTTGATTTGCGGTTGAATCGAATTCAGATCGGGCATCAATTTGCACGGGTTAGAAACAGACCGATAAGGAATTAAAGTTGAAAGTCTGCCGATCCTGATCTACGGCCCGTTGCACATATTCTCGACCTCTACTCTCTTTGTGGAATATTCAACCATGTGAATTTGCGAATGGCAAGTACGTTCAATCTCACACCATCATACAGTAGAAAGATGTGATTAGGTCAGTTGGTGACCGTTATCATGTGTGACCCTGGGATAGCTGAGCAACAATTTTGAAAGCAAATCCAGCTTGTCCAATTCATGGCATATCGTTTATTCGACGATTCAGTTATGCAATTGTGCGAACAAATTATCAGAACTCGACACGCCTCGATTGGTCCAGTTTGTGATAATTTTGCAAATTGCAAACCTTAGCTACAGGCATCGATTAGATAGCGAATTCTGTATGTGGTTTTTACACAATTTATAATGCAATATGTCTGTATACTGATTGATTGGAACTGACCATCCTTCAGACTTCACCTTCACGCATATTCCTCAGCTCTTCCAGTGAACCTTACAGTCGAAAGCGCTAGACTCGAGGTTCACTCTTATAAAGAGCTCAAAAATAAGGTTTTGAGCTCCGGGCCCATCACACGGAACGCGTGTGTTGCCACTGTGCCAAACAGCTCATACGATTGTACTTGTCCGATAAAAATTTGCAATTTTTACGCACATTTGATTCGCACTGGTTGGTGAGAGGATTAGAGTGTAGTAGGCGATAATGGTGATCGAACCATTGTTAACAATGGTTCCGACAGAACGACACACTAAACGAAGATGGTAGTGTTAGTACAAGAAAATATTCCGCTGAGTGAGCATTCGTGTACGAGTGGAGTTCACTTGTGATTGCTTAATTCAACTATGATTCTCCATGGGATGAGGGAGAGGAAATTTTTGTTCATTGAAATGGAAACTAATCGACATGGTGGTTATGGCGGAGCCATTGCTTCCGGCACATGTGTGTGTGCGTGTGTGTGTGTGTGTGTGTAGGTGTATACATCTCAGGCTCCTGAAAAACTGTATTCCGGAATTCAGAGAGAAATACGGAGTATCATCAGTCCCCGTTTACTGCATATTTCGTGAGTTTTCTGCTATTTTCGTTTCCGGAATCCCTCTGAACATTGAATTACCTCGAGAGCAAGATCAAGAACCAATGTGTTGGTTGACTGGGCGCACGTTCCGACTGATGCGTAAAACCACATACGTGCTAGGCTTTTCGATTCGCTGACTCTTCCGCAAACTTACGTTTCTCTTCCTTTTTCATTAAAGACATTTGTAACTGTGAAATACTGCTCTGAAAAATCTAAATACTATTTGGTGGAATTATTTTCTTACCCCAGAACTGCATGATAATAGCAATATTAGAAATATGATGAATTCATCNNNNAATAAATGAGGCGTGAACTGAAAAGCTGCAGAGCACTGTACACCTGTTTCTATGTGGTTGAATATCATAACAGTGTAAATCTATCGACCCAACTGGGGATCGAACCCAAGCGTACTACCCATTCGGCTACCAGACAGCTGATCAGACCGTTTCTCATTTCAAATATGCACGATGTAGCACAACCGATCTACACAACTTTGTTGCGAACACCGGTCTTCGCTCATCTGAACACGAGAGCATCCACGATTTATGAATTGGTTGGAAATTTTCATAAGCTAATTGTTTCTTATATGCGAGTAATGGAGGATTTGATTTGTTTATCTGATTAATTCGTCGTGTAAACATACAACAAGTATTGGAAATGTTATTTCATGTTTTCTGTTTTCCTTTGCCAATTCTCTACTTGGACCCAGTTGTTTTTCATTCGTATTCTCTCTCTCTCTCTGTGTGTCTGCTGTCGTTTCAGCGATTCCTTTCCTGGCTACTACGGATTCGACCTGTTTCGTCCGCTGTGCGGAGACACGTACGAGGCAGCCGAGACAAAACCGAGCACATCGTTTTTCGTAAGTAACGAGATGAAGAAGCAGAGACAGAAAGAAGCGCACCACATTGTTTTTAAATAGACCGTAGTTCGAAACAATTCATTCCGGGATTGAGCGTGGCTATCAGAATGTTAGTTTCACCCGTCCAACGGACACAATGGTCTTGGAGCTAGTTAAAATCGACCACTGTTAAGTTGTGANNNTGAACGACATTGCGTTTCTCTTCCCGATATTCCAGGGATTTTATACAACCGGTAAGACTTGGTGGAAACACCTCGAATTGTGCGCTTGCTCGGGTAGAGTGGTTTAAGCATTTCAACTTGGATAATTT